ACACACACACACACACACACACACACACACACACACACACACACACACACGCATGTGCTTGTACACACACATACCTCCCCACACCTACCCTTGCTTCTCTGACTGGTGAAATAGGGAGATGGAGTCTGAAGAATCTGAAGTCCCTCTTTCAAAACTCAGCTAAGGACTTGATTCCCAGAAGCTTCAGCTCTGACTCCTGAGCTGCAGGGAAAACACACCAGAGCCAGCAGCAGGCTGTGAGGCTGTGGCTAGGTAGAGCCCATCTCCTGACGCTCCTGGTAAAACCTGGTGCGCAGACTAATTTTTGTACATGTACTAGTTCATGTACAGCTGCAGCTATTTGTACATGCCGGAAGTCAGGAATGGCACCAGGTACAGCCCAGCACCCTTCTCAGAGCCCAGCTTCTCATGCTGTTGTTCCCCTCTCCAGTAAAGAAAAGCAGCCTCACTGCACATTTTATTTTTCTTTCTTCCTTCCTTTTTTTTTTTCTTTCTTTCTTTTTTTTTTTCTTTTCCTTGTTTTTTCAAGAAAGGGTTTCTCTGTGTAAGCCCTAGCTGTCCTGGAATTCACTCTGTAGATCAGGCTGGCCTAGACCTCAGAGATCCACCTATCCCTGCCTCCCAAGTGCTGGAATTAAAGATGTGCACCACTACTGCCCAGTTTATTTTTCATTTTTTGAGCAAGCAAACTTCCTAACCTCCCTCCTCAAATTCTGAGTGTTGTGGTCTCAGGCATCACCTCAGGCCTGCCTCGGTCCACGCTGACTATGTCTTGCTTAGTCCATCACCACCACTCTGTTGTTGTCCCTATCCGATATCTTCCAGGCCATCCTCTGCTGGACCCCATGGCCCTGTCCAAACACCACTCCTCTCTCAACTCAAGCTCCTGAGCTCCCTCTGGGCCACTGCTGTCCCCTCACTACCAGTGGCAATCTTGTCACTCATCTCACAGCTCTGGGACAGGAAGGGGAGAGGAAAAGAAAGGGCAGGCTTCGCTGTAGGCAGATTGATAGAGTGACATCCACAACCTACTGTCTGGGCTAACTCCTCCTCTGGGCAGTTCTGGGGTTTGTCCCTGGAGGAGACCTCTCCACCTCCAGCATCAGAAAGCTCCACAGAGATCACTGGTCCATGCAGTTCCCTTGCATGGTTCCCCAGCAAAGGGCCACAGCTGGCTGAACAACAGACATTTGTTCTGGAAGTCCAAGATCCAGGTGTGGCAGAGATGTTCTCCTTGGTTTGAAGATGGCCATTTTTACCCTGTGTTGTCACAATGGCCCACTTATCTTCACCTTGATTTCCTCCTCTTAGAAAGATATAGTTATATTGGATTATCCCCCATCTAATGACCACATCGAACTTTAATCACTTCTTCAGAGGTGCCTCTCCAAATACAGTCACACCTGAAGACTTTAACATATGCATTTGGAAGGACATATCCTTCCCATGGCTATCACACGCAGATTCTTTTCACTGTATAGAGCAGTGGCATGTAATACCTGCCTCCATCCCTGCCCTCATGGAGATTTGCAGTGACTGATAGATAATATTTGGCCCAGCCCCAGAGCCATGGGAACTCACCAAGAACCAGCCATGAGGCCAGAGCAGAGCTGGAATCGGAGACAGAAAGGACTCAGGTCTAGTGAGCCTGGCTAAGGCTTCTACCTGCTCCCTAGGATGGCCTACCCATCCAAAAGCAGCACGTACCAGTCAGCAAGCAGGCTTCACTGCCACCCATCTGGATCCCCATCCTCCCCATTCCTTGCTTAGCCAGTCTGCACTCTGCCCCTGCCAAAGACCACCCTGCATTCCAATCCCCACAGCTGCATGCTGCAAAGGACTTGGGTTCAATTCCCAGCACCCACATGGTAGTACATAACTATCTCTAGCTCCAGTTCCAGGGAATCTGGAGCTTTCTTTGGGCCTCTTTGGGTACCAGACATGTACATAGTACATGGACATATATGCAAGCAAAAACACTCAGACACATAAAATAAAAATAAATCTGGTTTTAAAAAAGATTAACATACTAGAAAAAAAAAAGCCAAGTGACAAAAACTGGAAGCACTTCCCCACTCGGGCTTCGTATAATGAGTGGAGCATGCTCAAGCCAGTTTGCCAAGACTTGAAGTCTTTTGGGATCATTCTTTTCCTTGCTCACTAGCCCTGCTCTCCTGGAACTCGCTCTGTAGACCAGGCTGGTCTCAAACGCTGAGAGCCATCTGCCTCTGCCTGCCCAGTGCTGGGATTAAAGGTGTCCACCACCATGCCTGGCTGTTTGTCCTTTCTTAATAAATGGTGTCTGTTTATTTCTAACTATGTGTCCCTGGTGCAATCTTTAGTCGGGAATGGGGGGCACAAAAATCAGGAGGCAGGCAACCTCTGAACTCAGATCGCTATGTATAACCCTATCTCAACCTGGCTTAGGGAAGAGACAACTCCCACCCAGGCTGTGAGCACCAGGGAGGCAGTGCAGGACCAGAGCATGGGGACTCCCAGGCCTACCTTTTTCAAGCAAGTTGCCTTGTGGTTGGAGTCCTCCTGGGAGTCAACAAGTAGGCCCAGCTTCTGCCTCACACATCCATGTAAAATACTTTTGGTTTGAGGCAAATCCTTTCTCCTTTCTGGGCTTCAGTTTCCCAATTAGTTAACCCACAGAAGTGTCCCCCACTCTGCTCTTCTGCCCAGTCTGCCTTCACACTTCACTGCCCACTTCAGGAAAGAATGAAACAGGTGGAAGATCACACCTATAATCCTCATGTTCAGAAGGTTAAAGCAAGATGTTGTTATGAGTTCAAGACCAGCCTGGGTTACATTATTTCAGGCTAGCCTGTGCTACAGAAGAATACCTGTCTCAAAACAGAAGACTGGGGAGAACACAAGGCAAGAAGCCCAAGTCATCTGTGGAGATAGGAAAGCAGTGTTCGACTATGCTGCCCACCAGACCAAGAGAAGAAAATATCTATCAGCAGGCTGGATGGACATGCAGAGGGGAAGAGCCAGCAGGCCCCAAAAGAAAGTGAGACCAGCGGGGTGGTAGCACATGCCTTTAATCCCAGTACTCAGGAGACAGGGGCAGAAGAATCTCTGAGTGAGTTCCAGGACAGCCAAGGGCTACACAGAGAAACCCTGTCTCAAAAAAGGGGGAAGTGAAATTCAGGCTAGGGTACATTTTTTTTTTTTAAAGATTTGTTTATTATGTACACAGTATTCTGCCTGCATGCCAGAAGTGGGCACCAGATCTTATTACAGATGGTTGGGAGCCACCATGTGGTTGCTGGGAATT